AATGGAAAATGCAACGTTCACAGGAACACCATGACTAAATCACCAACATGAAAAACCTGTGAGCGACGATGTTTATTAGCAACAGCCTTGTTTTTGGAATTCATTTGAGCTATTTTCTCAGCAACATCGTTCTTTACTGCCTGAACCCTTCAGCCATTTGTTCAGCTGCAACACTCACTCCTAGGCCACGAGGAAGGTTTACAAGATCAACCACATGCCAGGGAACCGAAGTATAGATAATTAAAAATGTTGACTTGCCCGTTGTGGTATGCACACCACTACGGCTCTTCGGTTACTTTACTCTCCATGCTACGTATTCTCTTCGCCTCATTTTCTCTTCATGAGGAATTCAACTGAGAAAGCTTCTTATGGTTGTGAATTATGGGGTTTTCTGCTCGTAGGGCATGAACAATCAAATGGGTATTCCAAACTATGTTATTCTCGTTGTGCCAAAACGGAATGTATAGGTTAGGGTTCACGAACGATTCCTCTAGAAAGGCTCCTGAAACTCTAGGGTTATTTGAGAATAAAGAAATTTTATTCAATGGAAAAGCTGCTGAAATACAACTGTAGGCTTTGCTTATATAGTTCCACAAAACCTAACGACAAAGGAAATAAATCCAAAATAAAATTTGCAAAATTAACAAAACAACCCCAAACTAATAAAAACATTGTTATGACCCTTTAAACGACTCTGAACGTCTCTATACTGCTGCATTGTCAAGCAATTTTTTGACCCCTACGTCAGTCTCATCTGCTTGTAAAGAACTTGTCATCGAGTGATCAAGATATAATGGAACATTATCAGGATGAAAATGTTGCAGATCAGCAACATTGAAAATGCTACAAATCCCCATCGATGCCAGCAAGTCTACCACACACGCGTTGTCATTAATTTTGCGCACAATCCAATATGAGTCAAGCTTACCGTATTGACGAAATGGAAAACGCTACTTTCGTAGGAACACCATGACTTAATCACCAACTTGAAAAACCTGTGAGCGAAGATGTTTATTAGCAGCAGCCTTGTTTTTGGAATTTGTTTGAGCTAGTTTTCGCAACAACCGTCGTTCTTTACTGCCTAAACACTTTCAGCCATATATTCAGCTGCAACACTCACTCCTAGGCGACGAGGAAGCTTTACAGGATCCACCACATGCCGGGGAACCGAAGTATATACAATAAAAAATGGTGATTTACCCATTGTGGTATGCACACCACTACGTCTCTTCGTTTCCTTTACTCTTCGTGTTGCGTATTCCTTTCGCCTCCCTTTCTCTTCACGAGGAATTCAACTGAGAAAGCTTCTTATGGCTGTGAATTATGGGATTTTCTGCTTGTAGGTCATGAAGAATCAAATGGGTCTTCAAAACTGTGTTTTTCCCGTTGTGATGCAACGGAATGTATAGGTTAGGGTTCACGAATGATTCCTCTAAAAAGGTTCCTGAAACTCTAGAAATATTTGAGAGTAAGGAAATTTTATTCAATGGAAAAGCTGATGAAATACAACAATAGGCTTTGCTTATATAGTTCCACAAAACCTAACGACAAAGCAAATAAATACAAAATAAAATAAAATTTGCAAAATTTACAAAACAACCCCAAAACTATTTAAAAAACGTTGTTTTGACCCTTTAAACTCCTCCGAATGTCTGTATACTGCCGCATCGTCAAACAATTTCTTTATTCCGATCCGACGTCAGTCTCCTCTCCTTGTAAAGAACTCAGTCATCGAGTGATCAAGATATAATGGAACATTATCAGGATGGAAATGATGCAGATCAACAACATTGAAAGTGGTACAAATTCCCATCGATGCCAGCAAATCCACCACACATGCGTTGTCATTGATTTTGTGCACAATCTTGTGTGGGCCAGATTTACTGTATTGACTAATGGAAAACGCTACTTTCGTAGGAACACCATGACTGAATCACCAACTTGAAAAACATGTGAGCGACTGTGTTTATTAGCAGCAGCCTTGATTTTGGAATTTGTTTGAGTTAGTTTTCGCAACAACCTCGTTCTTTACTGCCTGAACCCTTTCAACTATATGTTCAACAGCAACACTCACTTCTGGACCATGAGGAAAGTTGAAATTAGCATACATTGGTGTTATATTTAAAGTCACATATTTAGAGTCATATGTGACTTTGGATATAATGGAAGGTTAAAAGTATTTAAATAAAAAAAAGGAATTAGACGTCACCTTTGATAGATACAAATTTTAATGCTAAAATTAACTTAATTCCTCAATTATGCATAAAAGTTAGCAAAGTTTGATTTCATTAAATTTGAATGCGTACCAATGGAAATGTAACTTGCATGCGTTATTTGGAGCCAAAGATGACTTTATAACTTACTTTTATCTTTTGAATATAATACTTTTAGTAGTATCCTATTTCTTCATCCAAACACATGATTATGTAGAATTGTAGCTAGAGAAAAATGACGAAATTATCAATTTGTAAGAAGACAATAATCAAAAGGTAATACTAAGGAGATCAAATTTTATAAACCAAATGATGTGGAATCAATAAAAAATAAGAATGTTAATCAATATTTAAGTAATAATAATATCATTTGATTTACAAATTTAATTTAAAATTTTGATTTCTTTATTATATTACCCGCAACAAAATATCAGACACGCCAAATCAATAACCAAAAACTGATTTGAGTTTCCACAGTACAGGCGAGAGGTGAAAACGATGGGCAGCACGCGGAGACAACTGGAGAAACCGAGGCGCACAGCAGACAACTGGATATTCAATTTTAGTTTCTCTGTGATGCTACCTTTTGGCCATTGGGGGAGACGGCGGGCACTTTGTTTTTTTGACAACCCACGTCGTTCTAATTTCCCCAAACTCAGTGGGCAATGTTGGACCACCCCCACACATGCTACACACTGACACTATCCACACGACGCATATTGTATTTTAATTGCATTTTGCATTCATAGAAAACGAAGCTAATGGTGTTTGACTCTTTGCTATCCACTACTTTTCTCCGCCTTCCAATACACGATCACGAATGGTTCCAAATAATCTGTGTATTTTTTTCCAGCTAATTCATGTATAGCTTGAGATTTTTCTAGTTCTACCATGTTTTCTGTATTGCTGCTTTATTAAGAGCATGAATCTCGCATTAAGAAGAGAAAAAACTTTGCATGTACTTATTTTGGCAATGTGATGTAATTAGATCCTTCTTCGACATCAAGGCCCTTTAGAGAAAGGGGCGAGGCACAGGAGGATCTACTAGGCCAACCATGACCTTTTCAAGCATTTCTTTCAAGGGGTGTGATATTCACACATCCCATTTTACTTCTCACACACCTTTTTAATTTTCGGTCGTCGGATCAGATGAATTGAAAAAGATCAACGGACATAAATTATCAAAGGTGTGTGAAAAGTAAAATGAGGTGTGTGGATAGCACACCCCTTCTTTCAATTGCTGCCTAATCTCCTTAATGGCCAATGTCGACGTCCTGTAACGCCGTTGGGTAAGAAAGCTCTGTGTGTGAGTTTAGACGAGTTAGTATTCATATTTTCCATTAATTTTTTAATGAAATCTCAATTTCTTTATAGTATGAATTTCACGTCGAAAAGAGAAAAGACTTATGCATTACTTTGGATGCTGGGAACACAATAAAATATATTCCCAGAATGCTAAAATGTTTAATACTTTTAAGTATGTGATGTATACAGAATTAGAAGTGGAATCCCAATTCAGGTTATAGAACTTTCATACTTTGAAAAGGGGTTTTCGATGTCATGTCTGTGTGTGTGAAAATTGGAACCCATTGGTCCCACTCTCTCCTATTTAGGAAAAGTCCTCTCTCTCCATTATGATTATGAAACAGCAGAACCAGAAAAGAAGTCGGTCCACTTTGGACACATTATAAAAGCAAGAAAGGAAAAGATGAGGGACCTACGACAAATCAATTAATCTGTCAAAGATTAATAATTTGACCGAAAGGATTTCATTACTTTCTCGTTGTTAACTGTTCCGGTTAGTACTACCAGCAATTTTCGTTGCTAGCAGCTGTTATTGTTAATGCATGATCTGTAAATTCATATTTAAATTTATACTGATAATAACTGATAGTTAGTTGTTATGCGTAAGTTCTTTCGGATCAAAATTGTGGATATACATGATGATGAGACTATCTAATCTCGCTAGACTTTTTGTAACCAAAAGGAAAAGAAAGATCATTTCAAGTGTTTCCACGAGAAGAAGTAACATTACCTTCGCTCACCTTTCTTAAAATCAAAGCTTCAACCGCTAATGTCAAAAGCTATGTGATTTTATTGCTTTCTTTTATATATTATCTTGGGCACTTCTTTTTATGAATTTATCTTGTTTTAGTTTTTGTTATTTTTATATAAATTTCTCTTCACCCTCGGGACAAGGCAAACCTTGGTGCCTAAATTTAGATATAGAATTAAAATTAAATAAGTGTCACACATGAAATGCGTTTTAGGGATGACAAAGTTGTGCAATATTTTATCACAAGTGGTTTGACAAGAAATTCCATGAGACATCCATCCACAATCAAGTTTCTTAACTTTTGCCCACATGAACGTTATTGGATGATATCATATAGCTTTGTATTGGCTAATTCGCGAGTTGGAGATAAGCAGACTCAAACTGCTGATATCCATCACATGGTAAACTACTGTCTCTCAAGCTTCCGACTGATTCTACTATACAGGCCAACTATAAACAATAATTCCCTCCCTGAACACAGCTTACAACTTTTATCGTACTGTGCTCTCCAAAGAACAACTCTTCTCAAAATCTCAAAAGGAAACGTGTTGAGTTGGAATCCCATTCTAACTAAGGGGTTTGACATGATTCAAGGTTACTACCTATTTTATTTGATATCAAGAGTTGAGATAAATCATTAAATGCACATCAATTTGTTTCCAAATATTGATATTAAATCTACGGATGAGCGACCATGAGAATATTTCTAAAACTTCCTAATGCACAGAGAGTACTCCTTTTTTCATTCATTGATCCATATGAATCACAATCGTGTACAACTTGTGTAAGCAAGTAATTTACATATTCATGGGCTAGATGTATGCAGAGCTCAAGATCATTTTCTTTTACTAATTACCTGCAGAAGCAAATGAGTGCAACGCTAAAACGTAAGCTTCAAGCAACTACAGTATTTATTTTGGATCGAATTGTCGAATAAAATACGTAAGCAGAACGTACGGTCAAATTAGCCATCCACAGTGCTCTGATGATTACAATCTTCTTCCTTAGGTTGATCCATTGACAGGCAATTGGGTTCCGTTTCATTTAAGAAGGCTGCGGAAGTGATATCGGCATCATCATCTTCAGATGCAGACCTAGCGTCCATGTCATTTTCCAGACTGTCAAGTTGCACACATTCAGCTTCTTCACTCCTGTAATTTTCCCCGTCATGACTACTCCTACTTGACAATGTTTCTTTCTTCACAACATTAAATACAATCCCATTAGGTATCCTTTCAGGCTGCAACAGATCACCTTCAGTCACCGTGATGCTAGAACCATTTGCTGAAACCATGCTTCCAAACTCCCTCTTATCAAATTTTATGCTTTCGGGACTTCTTTCAGGTGTTGTACCTCTCGGGCTTTGATAATAATGATTATTGCCTCCCATCTGAAGCGTCATTGAGTTAGGATTAGTCAGCACCCTTCTGTTCAATTCAGCATCAATGTCCAAATCTTGGACAAAGTCGATGAGCTTATTTGCTGATGTTGTCCTCATCAAGGGTCCACCAGATCTCGTCCAAGAATTAAAATCAACGTTCTCGGATTGACTGTCACTTCCATCATGTATATTATGGTGGGTTTGAAAGCTTTTACCAGAATGAACTCCACTGGTAGATGTGCCAACACCATGATGGAATGAGGAACCACCATCTCCAATGAGGTCTTCTTCAAGGGAACCACTTGAATTCTCTCGAGCAATGCAATTCCAGGACGGAATTCTTCTAGATGCACTAAATTTGTTTGTACTAGCTAGGCCATGAGAAGAAGAAGAAGCCGCAGCTCTTTCTGCACTCCTTTTGAGTCTACGCATGTGGTTGAGAATTACAACACACTCATCAAGAGCAAGCTCAATGCCACAGTTTGCCTTTATGGCCGAGAGCTTCTCCCAAGTGCACCTTCTACCTTGGTTGGCTGCCTTTTGAAGCTCAATATGTGTTGGGTTTTGTATAATTTTAGAGTACTGGTAAATATGTCAGAAAAACAAAACGCTAGTTAGTCTCCATCAAGGATTATTAAAAATGATCCAGATGATTAAAGAAAATAGAAAGATATCTTCAAAATAGTCCCTAACGAAATTTGGTAAACTTGACTGTGATCAATCTTCAATGTAGTTATCAAATACTTTAATGGAAGTTATAGAAAGAACTTTAAGTAAGGTTCCATGGAAACAACGACCAATCATAATTCAGTAGTTATGCCTAGCGATACTCAGACCATCATAATCATTATTTTCTCCGCGCACCTGAGCAAGTGTAGCCGGCATAACAACAGTAACGTCACCCTCCCAATCTTGAGCGAACAGCTTGGCAAGTCCACCTAATGGAAAACCAAGTTCCAGGATCTGATTACATCTATGCTTCACCTCCATTTCAGCAAGATGAGCAAGCTACATAGTTAAATACTGAAATGGATTAATATTCATCTCATCAGAGTGTCAACGTAACAAAATCATGTAACAGACCGAAAAGAATCCAAAGAATATGTTACAACCAATGCACAAATGATAAGAAAATCTAGCTTAATGTTCCTACACTGTCAATAAGGTGCTTGCTAATTAACCAAGATGACAGACTAATTCAATTGATTAAAAATGCTTTTTGCAAAGCCATTGGACAAGTCCGTAAAGATGTGGCCTGAAGCTTAGTTCAAAACAAATAATTCTTAAGCCAGTGCAAATCTAACCACATCTCAGTGACGCATCCCGGGTTTTTGCATCAGCTGTTATCCCAACTGAGGATTACCTTTTTTTTTTTTTTCGGCTTGCTACTGAGGATACCTTTAGTGCTAGATGATCATACAACATTTCATCAGCTATAAGAAAACATCACTTTTTCCTTCTACCTTCTACAAAGTTGTTAGGTACAGAAAAGAAAAAACAGCATTAAGAAGGCAGATGCATGTTGATAAGCATAAGCCATTTCATATTCCTAATTAGCAAAAAAAAAAAAAAAAAAAAAAAAACGACAGTGACAGACGCAAAAAAATTGGATAAAATCATAAATTTCAAAAGGATATGAATTGAGGTCCATCAAACAATACCTTAGCAGCAAAGTTGCCTCCACAAGCTCTCACAAATTCCTTTAGCCTTAACAATGGTGCAATATGAGGATTTGCCTGACTGACAATAAAATGATTAACGTTGAACAGTTCTTTCAGTTGCATCATAGGTAAATCTATCTCCAAGCTACCATCCCTCCACCTACGCACTGGCATCGACCCTTCCTCTGGACCCAAATTAAAAGGAGGATGATATGGAACAATCTCTCCACTTCTATCCTTTGCCATTAGTTCCTGAGCCTCAAAAAGGCCAGGAAAAGCACAAGAAGCTGTCACTGCACTCCATATGACAACATGAGGTGAAGTCAAGTAATTAAGGCATCTAGGTGGCTCATGCTTCCTTGGCGAGCAAACAGTTATCCCAAGAATTCGACCTGTCATGTCATAAGCTTCTTGAAACGTCAGGTTACTCGTTAGATGCCTTAGCATCATTTGTAACTGCCTGATCTCATGAACTGCCCCACGTGTCATGACCCTCTTGACAACTGTAAAAATCCCACCCATCTGATCAAAAAACTGCAATGAGTGCCAAGAATCCTCAAAAAAGCTCTGGAGCTCAGGCCAAGACCTAGTGGCAACAACAGAACACATAATGGATCCTACACTGGAACCAGCAATTATTCTCGGCAAAAACTTATGTTCGACCAGCGTTTTAACCACACCAACATGGAAAGACCCAAGAGAAGCGCCCCCACTCAAGAGCAAGGCAGTTCTCCCAAAAGCATGTCTAGTTTCATGCACAAAAGCCAGCTTTTCTTCCAACGAGAGCTCTTCTGAGTCTGAATCACAAACCATTCTCAACTGAGTTGAGACCTCATGTATGTATTCCTTGATGAGTTTGGGAACATGAAGTTTCTCTTGTGAAGCTCAGGGTTGCACATATTACCGAGATTTCTAACAAGATCTGCTCTCATGCAGAACATGATATCTCTGAGAGAACCCTCTTCACGACGGTGGTGGAGCTCTTGAAGCTTGTTCCTAACTACTTCTTCGTCATAAAGGTCTGATTCATCCATCTTCGGTGTCTCTTTATCAAGCATCCTAGCAGCATGAGCCCACTCCTCATAGGTCAATGCCGTTCTCATCATATTTCTCCAGAATTTCCTTCGATAAGGCCATTTCTGCCTTGACTTTGACATTCGTATATCGTTTCAACAGAAAAGCAATGATTGTCACCATTGCCAATATCCCTTGAGGGTTTCGGAGATGCAACCATAAGAGCATGGGAGCCAAAAAGTTATTGAATCTATAGACGAGACTCAAACAGATATGAAACATTTGATGCCTCAAATGTGACATTGACTTGCAAAATAAAACCCTGAAAGCAATCGTCCGGCCAACAATGGTTGAAGGTCCAATAGGAAATGGTTCAACACTGGCCTCATTACTTATATCCATGTTTTTGGAGTCAGGAAATGTTTGTATTTCTCTATTTCTACGGCAACAAAGCTGAAGAGCTATAAAACCTACAGCAGATTATACAACTACAATACGGTTTTCGAGCTCTCAAGGTTTTCGAAAGAACGACAAATCAATCCTGGATGTATGAAGAACTAAAAACACAAGTCGATGAGATATGATTCCAATGTTCAACAAATAGATTTATCTAATGCCACAACCTTTTAGCTCAAATGAAAGGAAAAACTAGTTGCAGATAAAATATTAGTTACCAATTTTCCAAGTCTTGAAGCTTTTCCAAATTCCAGAGAAATCTCCCAAATGCAACAAAAAGAGACAGAATTTGACCCCAAATTTTCCAGCAACCCCACCAACTCAACAGCTAGGTGGGTACTTTCCCAATCTTCTCCTACCAAAAGCCCTAAGAAACCCCCAGAATTTCAAATCCTTCAACTCCACCCAGAAAAACTTGATCAACAAGCAAAACAAAAACACAACTTCGCAAATAAAAAATCCAACTGGGTTCCTTCCACCTCAAATCCTCATGGCAATCAAATTAACAGACAAATGGGTTATCAGATCAGAACCCAAGTTTCTCAATTACCTCCAAAAACAACCCCAAGAAATTGAAACTCCAAACAACAACAGGTCCTTCAAATGGATTGGGATTGGATTATATTTGCTTAAAGTATTATTGGGAATTGTGAAGGGATAAAGATATGGGTGTGGCGACGCCGCCTCGATCAGTTTGAATGGGATTCGGATTTGGGAGAAATTTACAAAAATATGGATAGGGTGGCAGAGAGGGGAGGGAGAGAGAGAGAGAGAGCCCTCCGGCTAGGGCCTCCGCTACCTATCTGACACAATTGTCTGTTTGATGGAAGTTTCTAATTATATTTCTATTTCTGGAAAGTTAGCAGACAAAATGGAACGCCCAAAAAACTCAGATGAAACAAAAGAGCGTTCAAATTTTAGGATCTTCCGTAGCAAAAATTTTTGGTGCTTCAAAGCTGTGGGACACATGCCCACGCCTGACACCTCGCAACGATCTTTGAAATAAGACTGCATTTTTGTTTTTGTTTTTTAAACCCGGAATAATAGAATTTTAAATTTGAAATGCATAAGTAGAAATCTAATACCTAACTTTTGTGATATTGAACCATATGCGAGAAAGTGGTTTTGCTTATCATCCTATTAATTAGAGTTAAAAGACTTAAGTATGTAGTCTGTAGGGGAGTTTTCTCATCTTCGTAGGAGACTAATACAAACAAAGCCTTTGTGTTACTGCATTTTCAATATTAATTGATTTAATTTATTACCACTCAGTACTACGGTCTGGTGATATTTTTGTTCCCTTAGAATTGAGAGGTCTTACGTTCGAATCTCGTAGATGGTGAATTCGATATCAAGTTAGGCTGCTCATTATGTGGCTTAGCCGAACTCCCCTCTCTTTAATGTAAAAATATTGATGTACTCAACAAAAAAAAATTATTATTTTCATTATTATTATTCGTAGTGGGGATTATGAAGGAGTTTTTCTTTTTATTTTTTATTTTTTCATATTTTGAACAAATAATAGTATCTACACTAAACGGGTGGGGGAGTGGGTTAAGCCCTATAATGGGTTTGCCATAGTAATGTGGTTCAACTTCTTCTTTGATGAGAATCAAACCTAAGACTTTTCACTTATAAATAAAGAGGAATACCACTAGACTATAGTACTAAGCAGTGTTTTAAAAATCACCCTAGACGCTCAGAGGTGGGGCCCCGCTCCGATTTTAGCCAGGACGTTTACAAAAAGCGGAGAGGATCAGGCGGTCTGGGTGGCCCTAGGCTGTAGTCTAGGCGGGTTCTACAATTTCCGATTCATCACCATCTGCAATTTTCGACGACCTCAAACTAATTGTTATGCTTTACTGAGTGAAGATGGATTCTGCAGAAGGTGGTTTTGAAGGTGGGTTCTGCACAAATCCCAGAGGAGGAAGATGAGAGTGAAAGTGGTTTATGCAGAGACAGAATGAGAAATGAGGATGAGAGTAAATTGCAAAGAGTGAATGGAGAGAGACTTCGCGATCTGTGGAGAGAATCTATTATATTATACCTATTAGATGGACAAGGATTAAAGAGTACGTGGGTGAATTCCAATCTCCCATGCCAGGTAAAAGCAAAAATATTTAAAAACTTATTAATTAACTATTTCTTTGACCCAATTATCTAGAAAATTTAGCCATTTGAGAGAAAAGTGAGGTGGGTGGGTGACGGCTATTGGTTTGTAGTTAGAGTTTCTTTTATTAAAAGTCTTGTGACGCCCAATAATAATTTAAAATTTATGATATTAGAAAATTTTTAAAATTTTACATAATACTCATATCTTATAATAAATATTTATTTATGTATTCTTTTATTTTTCATTTTATAATTCCCTATACAAGTATGTTTTTTTGTTGTTGTAAACATATATTTATTCATATATTATATAATAAATCTATTTAAAAAATATAAATCCGCCTAGTCCCGCCTAGGCGCTAGGCCCCAGCTCGCCGCCCGACTAATGCCTAGCATTTTTCAGAACCTTGGTACTAAGTGACTTATGGATGAGTCTTTTACACCTTTTGCTTTCTTATAACTTGTGTTACTCACCATTAACAGAGAGACCCTTGAACTTTTGTGTTACTCTTCATCTTTTCATAGTTTTTTCAATACCCAAAGAAAGGTGTCTTGTGATGGAGATTTGGACTATATCTTTTGTTCATATAGGTTTGAGTCATAAACGATTCAGTTGGATGTTGTATAGGGAGGCGACAAGTTTGTGATGCATTGTGTGCAATTGTTTTATGTGTACTTAACAGATTGTGATTAGCCTACACCAAGATGCAACAATATTACTATTTGAATTTATCACTGAACTTAATATAGTGTCTTGTAGGAGTACAGCTCTAACACACTCCGACCCGGAACGTCCACCTGGACTCCAAATCGAGCTGTGTCGGCCGACATCCGAAGGGTGACGAAGCCATAAAGTGTAGTGATGTGGAAATGTGAATAAATTTAAACCTAAAAGTGCCTAAATATAAAGGTGCGCTGTGAACGGAATGAGCCCATTTCACACGAGATGACAAAGGATAAGTAAAGTACAGTAAGGTAAAGTATGAGTTATACCATCAAAGATAGCCACCTATACTAAGATTTTGCCAAGAATCCTCATCAATACAAAAGTTCAATTGCTAAAACCTAGAGGAGCAAAAAACATGGGTGAGTGGGCCTAAAAATAAAGTTTTGTAAAAACCTTTCTAAAAATATTGTAACCCCTCGTTGTAAAACAAGTATAGTTTCTAAAATATACTTACTACGTATAGTATAAAAATACTTACCGTAGCCTGCAAAATCTCAAGAATTCATTATCGCACAATATTTCGTAACTAAGGGCAGGATATTCAAAATCACAAAATCTCAATTGTAATATGAGTAAAATCAGGTGCTCAAACAATCTATGCTAGCACATAAGTTGGAGTCACCTAATGTGACTTGTACGACTGAACTGATGCTCATCAATCTATGCTAGCACACGAGTCGGAGTTGCCTAATGCAACCTGTATGACAGGACTGGGTGTAATCATAATATACACTCTAGTGCTACAATCACGTGAAGACTGTCACTATTTACGATCACCTACGAGTCGGAGTTGCCTAATGAAACCTATACGACAGGATTGGCATCTACTTGGATCCAAGGCGAGCGTGCGATGTGGAGGTGAACATACACGTGAAAGACTAGCCTTGGCCCTAGGTGAGAACTAACACCGAGGTGCAACAATGATAAGCAGACTACATAAATATAAGCATGCCACAATGATTAGATAGTTCTAATCAACATACTAACATTCATAGCCGTAAACATAATTATGACATCAATAATCATACCATACTTGTGCATCCCTTATGATGTAGCATATTTCATAAGTTCCGCCATTTTGCTAATTCTTATGAACTTTAGTTTGATCCAGGCATACGTAGAGGATTCTTTTTCAAATGTATAAATGGAAACTATCAATCATATATATATATATATATATATATATATATATATATATATATATATATATATTTATACTATAAAAAGGAAAAGACCCACGCACAGAACATGTCGTTGGGTTGAACCCGACATGCGGGCTTCGAAGATCCTTGCAATGCGTTTCACCAAGAAACGAAACCATTATGTAATTATGTATAGCGTATTATCGTATAAACGCATTTTTCATACAAAGTACGGCTAAAACGATCGAATTTTGGAAAACGGATGGCGGATTCGGGTTCGGCACATCGAGAAACCTGAGAGACCTCGGATTCCTCTATATGTCGCCGCATGCAGCCCCACAAGTGGTTGCACTGGCAGCCATGCGCCGTATGTGCCGATCACCAATCGTGAGCCCACTCGCCCACATGCTTGCGAGTACCACAGTACTTGCATTCCTCGCAAGAACTTGCAACTTTAGGTTTTAGCCCTAAAATAGCTTTTCTGCTTCAACCCTTCTGGCCTAAATTTTTTAGCCTGAGATTATTAAAGAATAAATTTAGGCTAATTTTTTCTTTTAAAGTAATTTTTTTTAAAATAATTATGTACACTATCATAATTTAATTTTATGAACATTTTAACCTAAAAATATTTAAATTCCGATAAATATTGAAAAATCACTAAATTTAGGTGAATTTTGAGTTAAATATTTTTTTTAATTATTTTAGCTGTTGAATTTAAATTTGGGTTGTTAAATCTTTTTTTTTACTGTTATATTTAATTATATTTGATCTCATCCGTTGGATTCAATAAATCCTAGGAGACATGCCCGTGTGGGTGGGGTTCCGCTGGTAGTGCCCACACCATTTTTTGGGATTAGTCATGGGGGGAATTTGACTTTTGTTGGCTTTTAGCTTTTAACCCACACATTTAGCATGGGTTGGGTTGGGTGGGGTTGGGTTTTGGGGGGGGGGGGGGGGGGGAATAAAACCTAAAAAATAGCATTTAGCCAGAGTTGGGTTTGGTCTTAGGAAACACGGGGGATAGGGCGAAAATAGGTTGTGGGTCCCCACATGTCTCACATTTCAAAACAAAAATATCCCTAAACATGGAATTACCAATTTGCCTTTGGTATTCGATGTTTCGTAAAATTTTAATCGTAGCTTCAATTTCGATTCCGCTTGCGCCTACGCGTTCGTATTGTTGAGCACTTCGAGAATATGGTAAAATAGAAGCTTGTACACGTCACGAAATGCCGGTCAACAGAAGTCGACTATTTCGCTTCTAGTTCATTTCCGTCATTTCATTCGTTTAAAATTTATAAAATCGTAAAATTAGGGACGGGTTGTCACAATTCCCTTGAATATATTACATACAAACAACTATAAAATTATATATGTAGACAGAGCCATGGAGATAACTTTTGTTTATCTTGTTATGGATGAAGTCATATAACTCTCATAATTTTAAAATTTTGAAATAGTTTGTTTGCTAAAATGCCGAATTTGGCATGAGTTTATGAAATTTCCGAAATTGGAAATGACATGCATGTTAGAAACTTTTTAGACTGGAATAAGAAGCATGAATTTCCGATCTGATCCGACCGAAAATCAAGCCTATAGGTAAATCATTTGATAATGTATGATTTGTGAGTCCAAAGTTCCTGCTGTTGGTCTTGTGTGTGCGTTATTTTCTCTTTGCTGGTTAGGTAAATCATTTATCTTTCTCTTTATGAAGATATTCAAAGATTGGTAATGACTAAATGGTTCTTTCTGCAATTGTTCAATATGAGGCGCGCTAAAGGCCATCTCCAACCGAGGGTTGGCCAAATGGCTCGTTTTAGCCCTCTGGCCCTCCAAGATTCTCCAAGATATTAATATTTTAATGAACAGTACAAGGCCATATTTACCTCCGTCTCCAACTGAGGGCCAGAGGGCTAGATGGCTCGTGTTAGCCCTGTC